AGTAGGAGGCACTTAAATAGACCTTAGTAGGGATAGATGAGAACTTGCAGACTTTATTCTTTTGTCCAGCACTGAGATTAGTTCTTATCATAGCTCAAGAAGGAAGCCTCTGAACTGAAAAGAAAAGATGGGAATGATTTAGTTCTTAAGTTTGAAACTTTGATATTGCTGGAGGTGATGTGAATACCTGTGACCTTATGAAAGTTCAAACTTCATCTACTCCCAGATGATTGTACATGCTGATGTTCTTTGACACAGACTGCTTGCAATTCCAAAAGGGGAGACTGCAAGAGATTCATGTTTATAATTCTCTGGTTACTTATTAAAAATCCCTATTTCTCCATCTTTAGTACCCTCAATCACAAACCAAAAAAACCCCCCACCAAAACAACTCAAACCACAAAAGCCTATTTTCATTTAGTAGGGTTTGGGGGTATTTTTGAGGCAGATAACTTAGCCTGTTAATCTCGCTGCAGTATGTTAGTTTTCTAGTATGCCAGTGAACGCATACTAAGAGTGCAGGCATCTCATCTCTTGGGTTTGAAGTTAGTGAGATTACTCGCAGTTTGGCATCATGTAAAAAGACCCAAAGAATGTAATTCTTTGTTGATCACCCTGCCCTTGCGCATTTATGTAAAATAATCTTGCCAGTACCTGGCAAGTTTTGCCACTTCAGTTTTGCCACTGTAACTATACCACTCAGTAAATGACAACAGCCCTACAAATTTAGCCTATTTGTGGCAGTGAAAGATACTCATTTATCTGAGCTGAGGCAGAATAAGCTACTGGTACAAGCTCAGCTGTACGAAATGATAATCTTGCTCTTCTGCTCTATCTGCTCCTGTACTAGAGCCCTCAGAGCCTTGGAAGGCAGAAGGGGGAAGAGTCATGTGTCTGATCAGTGTCCTGTATTCTCATGCATATGAGCTGCACCTCAGATAACCGGTTCTGCCTGAGAACTGCTGTTCCTTGGAAATAAACCCCGAGATAATCTGCACAAAATCAGCATAAGGGTTGCTGAGGCAATGCAAGTAGCCTGCAGATGATCAGAGGCAGCGTGTTTCCGCATGAACCTGTGCTGCTGTGGAATTGCTGGTTTTGCATATGACCCACAAGTTAGTGTTGTGAAAATTCAGTTGTTGAGCTTGTGAGACTTTCACATCTTAGTTCTGGCCTATGTGTAAGGGAGAATTGAAATGCTGCCCAGCTAAAGTAAATGCTTTTGGCACTTCTGTCAATATTTTTTTCAAAAAAAATTATTGTATTCACAGTCTTGCTATGTGTAGTAACGGTAACTGATTTCACTTCTACTTCTTAGATACAATTAATTTTGTCTAAGAGGTCCATGGCCTATAGATAACCAAAATGCAACATTGTGAATTGTCAAGCAAGTGAGTCTCCCATTGAGAGACTCCCATTGAGTGTTTTGGCAGTAGTAACCTATTGGTGTGTAATTAATAGATTCTTACTACAAGTTTTTAATACTTTTTTTTTTCCTTTGATTAAAAATGTATCTTGCTCCCAGCTACTGTACTTGCATAGCTTTGAGGTGTTTCAGATTGGGTACTGATTCTGCAAAGGTTGATACTCAGCGTTAACTTTATTCAGTGTGAGTAATCCCACTAAAATCAGTGATCCACTCCAGAAATCGCTTGGTGCATAAACCCATGAAAGATTCTGGCTTTAGCCTTTATTTCAAAGGGGTGTAAACAAATTTTTTTTTAATTATAAATAAATGATTATGGCCTGTCACTGGTATTTGGTTTTATGTTTTCATGTAATTCATGTGATTTTTATTGCTTGTCTTAATTCTAGGTTGTAGTGAAGTGCCTAGATGATGGACAGGCACCATACAAAGGTATTATACTACATTATCTCTAGATGAATCATACATTGTGACAGTACTCTTAGTGACAAATTTAGATGTACCTAAATGTATCTCCTGTCATACCTTCCATGAAGAACTATGAATGTTACCGTAAGTGATGAATTTCAGGATATAGGAATATACTTTATTGCAAAGGTTCTATCTGGAATGCAAACTATGAACATCTTGCCTAGACAAGTAATTATTAGTAGGATTAGAAGTAGTAAGTGATATGCCACAGGTAGGAAAAGCACTTTTTTTTTTTTACTTTTTGAGCATGGAAGAAAGATGGGAAGGTCTAAAAGTGTTTGGATATACATGTGTTATGAGTGGGTCCTTGTTTCACATAGTAACAGATGAGCTTCATGTTCTGCCTACAAACTGGGGAAAGTGAGAAAGTGTGGGAGCCGGTAAGGTAGAAGGAGAGCTGGTAGTGTCCTGTGTGTGAAACAGCAGCACATTGCAAGAAGTGACACTTTTTCAGAAATGTGAAATGTTACCATGGATTTGCTTTTTTTATTTAATTTAAAAAAAAAAAAAATCTTCCTTCCTAGCAATTAATGCTGCTTCTTTTTGTATATTTGGGGAGATAGTCTTTCAAAATGAGAGTAGTTTGGTGTATGGTTTGTAGTTCTGGTAGATGCTGGACAGGAGAGTTTGCACCAGAAAGGTCAGAATGCTGCTTTGCATTGTGCTATGCACCTGAAAAACAAGCTCATGTCTAAGATACGGACACAGTGAACGCTTTAGGTGGGGACACAGTGGGTAAGTGAATATCCAACTAACCTGACAATTGCTGCAGGATGTTCTAAATAACCTGTATACCACAGAATTTTTGAGGAAAATGGGAACATCAGTACATTCTCAAATGGAGACCTATCAAAAACATCTGTCCCCATGTGATGAGATGTATATTCTACACAGGTCATTTGACTCTCGGTAGAATTTTTTCATTTTTTACATTAATTGTTTTAAATTGACTTATGTTGGTTATTTCCTTTGAAAAGCTGCTTGTGTAGCAGGAGGGCCAAAGCCATCCAGCTGAAACCAACTGGCCTTCCCAGAGAAAGCTCCTCCATGCACATGCCAGCAATCTGATAATCCTACAAAATAACCAAGGTGGCAGACAAGCTGAATATGGAATTCCTGTATTGAAGGACTGGGAGAACAAGAAGTAAAGGACCTCAATAGAACTAGCAGATCAGTTTAAAACAAACAAGGCAGCACTCCTTTGCACAGGAGACTGGAAGGAGACAGTATCAGTAGGTTTCAAAAGGGTTTAGATGTATTCCTGGTCTACAGCTCCACATATAGAATCTAAAATGACGAGCAGGGATGGATGCCCTCTGGCGTGCCTAATGCACCCATCCTGGATACCGGAGAAACGCCGGGGGCAGCTGGGAGAAGATGGGGCAGGCTCACATGTGCTTTCCATGACGCTTTCTCTTTTTGGCACTGTCAGAGACAAACTATTGGTTCTCAATCCATAGCTTATACATTTTCACAGCTCAACGAAGGGGCTCTCGGGCAGCGTGCTGTGCTCGGAGCCTAGCCTGGTAACAGGCAGGCAGGAGCATGACTAAGCAAGAGCCTAAAAGACTTATTTAAAGACAAGGTTCCCACTAAGCATTACCTGGCCAGATGCCTATCAGTGCCAACAGTTACACTTCAACTGCATTCTCCTCAAATGTTTACCCGGGAGACCTGGTTTTATTCTTAATGGTTTACATCCAGACTTTACTGCTAGAGTGTTATTTTATTTTATCTAGTCTGTTATCCTTGAATTTTGTGTATGTAGACTACTGCATTTATGAGTCCATGTGGTTTATTTCTAAAACATCACGTTTATACTGCTCAAACTCTGAGTTTCATGTGAAGTAGGGTGTTGTTTTTTTTTAAATTTGTTTCTGTATGTTTTTTTTCCCCTCCTGAATCGTGGGCATAGTAATGTTTCAAGAGCATATTTGGTTTTGGAAAAATGTATGTTAACTTAAAGTCCACATTAAATATAGATTGAGAGTGTGTTGCTACTTTTAACTTTTCAGCCTGGTTTAGAATTTTAGAAACAAAAGCAGATTAGAAAAATAGTTTTATTTCATAAAAAAGACTTTGTTAAAGTATTTTATGTGGTAACTTGTAAGAGGTCATTTATATCTGAAATGTTTTTAAAAAAGCATATTGAAATAGTGTTGTATATTCCAAGTGGAAATCTTAGTTTAAGACTTACAGCAGTAACTTTTTAATATATGAAAGCTTTATACTCTTATAGTATAAGTGTATAAAGTATGCTTATTATAGTATAAAGTGTGTATATATAAAAAAGTATACTTATTATAGTATAATGAGAGTATAATACAACTTTCATATATGAAAAAGTTACTACTATAAGTCTGATAATACAGCTATGTTGCTATTTCTTATTTTGTCATCGAGTCAGGAATGCTGTGAATCTATGGTATGTAATATAGTTAATGCATAATATATATAGGCAATGAAAGGTCTTTGTCATATAGTATAAGGTCACCATCATTAATTTTCAAATTATAAAAAGGGATTTGCTGTTTTGTGATCATCATTATTGCAATATAATGTGTTGTGGATTCTGCCTGCACATAGAATGAACTGTGATCTTAATTAGAACTTTGACAAGCCTACTCCGATAAAATGATGAGATTATTCGTAATTGATGTCACAATCAATTACCAGTTAGTTCATCATGAATCTACTAACAGGTCTAGCCTTGGTGCTGGCCCCAGGATGTTGATGAGTGTGTGGCTGCCCTGTTCATGCTGTTACTGCGACAGGAGGGCAGATTTTCAGTCAACATCCTAATGACCTCTTTTGAAGTCTATTAAATTAATGACCCTGTCACATTGGTCTAACCTCTTACATCTTCATTTTGGATTTTTTGTTGCAAACCATTGTTTTTTGAGCACATGATAGAACAGATACTTCGGAGCACTCCTCCTCATCCCCCCAAATCTGGCACTGAGTCTTACTAGATTCAATAAAAAATTAGTTCATTATACAGTCATGAAATACGGAACACAGAAATCAGAAAATATATTGTAAGGCAAGCTATGCTTAATACCATTCTATTTTCTTTTTACATTTCAATCTTGCTTTATCGTAGGTGCCTAAAGGACATGTTTGGTTAGAAGGTGATAATCTCAGGAATTCTACAGATTCCAGGTGCTATGGACCTGTTCCTTACGGCCTGATAAGAGGACGCATTTGTTTTAAGGTATATATATTTACAGTATCTAAAAATAGTTGCTTTAATACATTTTTAATAACTGGGTGTTAGGTATTAAAACTTGCCTCCTTAACTGTCTGGCCAAAACAAATGTAAAGGAAAGCTTGAACATGCTGCCTCTTGCTGTAAAAAGATAATTCAACACTGGTGGGGGATTTTTTTGAGGGAGGACTTGTTTTTTGAGCAGCACTCTTTGGGCAGCCACTGCCTCTGAAAACTGAAGGAATTATTTTGCAACCAAATCCAAACCTGATAAAGACCACAAACATACACCAACCCACACCCCGGCATGGATATACATTCCATCCTTAATTTGATTCTTGCCTCCGCAAAATGGTAGAAAAGAGCAGCTCCGTATTTCACTGTTGTTGTAATTTGAGAAGCATAGTTCCATAGTTCAAAAAGCAAAGATGGAGGAAAAGGTTATCTTACTTGCATACATACTTTAGACATGTAGACTGGTCTTGCTGCTGCTTAAACTAAGTCTGTGAAAAAGCCTTAACAGTAAAGTCAAATCTGTGCCACCGTAATTGTCTGCTACTTTTTTATTAAAAAAAAAAAGCTTTGAATTACTATTGTATAAACCATGTTTGTTCCTTCTCCTTCTGTTTCAACAATTCTACAGCTTTATTTCACGCTGAATTACTTTTTGACATTATCTGCATTACTAATTTACTCATTTACCAAAAAGAAGAAACTAAGACAATTTCCTCTCCATAAAAAGTTTAAGAAACAAGGGAGTACATATTATAGGCTTACGCACCAGCTGCTAGAAAGCTAGATTTAAAATGATGCCATTCCAAACAATAAAAAATGGTTTTGAGAACTGTTCTCCATACATTGCAACACACCTGCAAAATATAATTTAGCACAGCTGTATTACATGCACAGGGAAGATTAGATCTTTCCAATCTAACAAAGTTTTATATATTTAATTCACAGTTTTTATGAATGCATCTTAGTACTTCTCAAAAAACCTTGCAGCTATTGACCATAATCACTAATTGCTTACTGAGCCTCAAATAACATGTCCCCTTCAGCCCCACCACCTAGTTTAGCCTGACCTCTGTTCTTTCTGGATAGCATTTGCTTTGAGTTCTCCCTAGTGTTTATTATGAAGCGCTCTCTGCTCCTTCTCTGTGGTGTCTGCCTTACCAGGTACACCAGAAGACAAAATGCCAGTTCTAAATAGGGCTATTTTTATGACCCAAGTTTTAGCTTGGATTATTAACTGCTATAATACAAATATATAATATATATAATAATACAAATGATGCGAATATGCTGACAGCCCTCTTAATAAGAATGTGGTATTAATAATCCAACTGAGGAAAAAAAAAAATTCTCTAACTGATGTACTAGTGTAGAAAAACTGCCGTTTACTACTTTGAGACTTAGCAAATAATGTTAAGAACTTGTGTATGTGGACAGCCATAATTATTCACAGTATCCCTCTACAGCAGTAAGCTTGCATCCAGCTTGTACCCCAAGAAGGAAGATGTCTGAGAGACTTTAATGAAGTGACTAACAGGACTGAACCCTAAATTCAACAAGCAGTAAACTCTGTAAAATGAATGGAACTTACACAGAGAAATTATATATTGAAGAAGTACTTTAGGACTCCAGAATCCTGTCTGTTTAGAAAGATAGTATGCAATCACTTGATGCTTAATCAAAATAATTATTTAACCAAATTTTATAGCATTGGTTTACGATGGTGCATAGGGTAGTGCTTATTAACATTTTAATGAGATTGAAGTATGTGGTGCCTATCAAAAGCGAAAATGAGTTTATTCTTCCAATGAGTGTTTATAGTTTGTATTGTTTATAGTAATTCATATTAGAATGCAGTGGTCTTGCTGTTGAACATTACAGTGAAAGGCAACAGAATACAGCTAGTCTACATGCTGGTAGCTAATTAGTAGACCACTGGCCAAGAAACCTATATATGCTTTTTAATGTAGTCGTCTATTTTTAATGTCGTCTCTTTTCATGAAAAATCTTTTACTGCCCTGAGAAGGAAAGCTTATGCGGCTTTACCTTACAGTGAATTTTGGAGAAGCAGATGTAACAGAGCCTTTGAATGCTAAGTTACATTTTTAGTAATGGATAAAAAAAAAAAAAACCCAAACAAATCTAATTTGGAAATAATGGATTTCAACAGGAGAAAGAGAGCTTGTACCAAGTCTGCTTAGGCAACCTATTCTTGACAAAACATATATGTTAATTCTCTCTGTAGCTGATCTGTGAAGTTTAGACCTGAGATTCTCAGTCAACGTTGGTGTGCGCATTTTTAACCCATACAGAAATAATGATACTTGATCATATTTTCCCCATTTTCCTCACTGCCAACAAATCAACTGCCACTCTGAGAGATAATTTCATTCTGTAAAAAGGTCACTGAAATCAAAGTAGCTGCAAATTCAGTAAAAGCCTAGGGAGTCCCACTTGACAGAACTCATGCATCATCCTGTCCTAGGTAGGATAACCTGTGCACTCCCTGGACTTAGGCTCCATGTCAAAAATAGACCTGTAGTGTATCTTCAAAAGGGCTGCTTAGCCCCATTTACGCCCCATCCATCAGAGCAAATCTATGTAGGCCGAACCAAAGAGGGCAAGGGGAAATAGCTGCTAATTGGACTAGCCAGTTTGAACGAACAAGTCAAAGTCACAGTCAACTTCTGTCATAACTTTAAAAGACTTGGGAATTACTACACACAGTGGCATGTCCTTGTTTCACATAGAAGGCTTGTTCCATCTCTTTTCCAACCATGAGTATTGTTTCTGACACTCTCTCCTGCATGCGGACTAGGTAAAACACGATCTTCATTCTAACTCTACCACTAAGATTACTGTGATGAATTTGAAACTAAATGGTCAAAATGGTATTTAAAACAAGTGTGGTTATTTTCACTGAAAGAAAGTCAAGTTGCAATAGGTGTGATTTAAGTTGCCTGAAATTAGATTTGTGATGTAGTGAATAGCCTAAGAAACTTCCTTCTCTGGACTTTTCCTCAGATCAGCTTAGATTTGCAATATGGGATATTCCTATTCCCATTTACTCCCATTTGCCTTTGAGGAAACAAAGATAGATGTGACAGCCTGCAGCCAGCATAGGCCCTCTGGAGGGCCTTGAATTCCATAGCTTTGTGTCTAACCAAGATCACAAATACCCTTCTGTTGTTGCTTCATATCTCTGTATATTTGTGTGGAACTTAAAAGAGCTCACTGGCTAATACGCATACAGAGACAGGATGCTGCCTCTGTGTATTTCTGCATATCGACAGATGTTCCTCATGTTCCTTCCTAACTGCACATACCAAAAAAGACCATGTATTTTAAGATACTTGCACAAGAGAGCTTTGAGCTTTCTTCAGTTCCACAGAACTGGAGGTCCTGGGAATGACTCATCCTTCTGTCTTCCCAAGGGCCCAGGCACAATCCGACTGATGGCAACATAGCACAGTGCTGCAAGGGGCCTGACAAAGGCAAGTCTAGGGAGCTTCTAGCAAGACCATGGTCCCAGGCTAGTATTAAGGTGATGCTACATCTTGCTACTCAGTCTGCTTCTTCTGTCATCGTCTTTAGTGCTGGGGATGAATCACACGGTTTGAAATATTGAACCTTGGCACTGTGCTTGTTCTTTCAAATGGAGAAAATTACTTTTTCACTCCACACAGGAAGCAGCAAAGTTTCCTTCTGTGCTGTGGATGTTCCATGAACTCATTTAAAGAGTAAGCTGCTGTTCCTGGAAGGTGACTGCATACCTTCCTTAAGATCAAATTCTACGGAAAAATGAACAAAACAAATGTCATACCGACAGATGCTTTTGGGAACAAGGTAGTGCATCATCGTTTTCTGTCTAGGTCGCTTCATCTTGAGCAGTGGCTGTGAGATTTTTATGGGATTAGAGCCACAGAAGGCATTCATTCTTCAACATCAACTCTTCCCCTTCTTCCTGCTGATCCCCTTGTGCCATCTTTGAAAGAACACGTTGCGAAGAGACGCAGGCAGTCAAGGGACACAAAGGACAAAGTGTAAAAGAATGTCCTTCATTCCATATTACTTTTTTTTGCATCCAAGACCAGCCTACATATAATTAGTGAACATTCAGAGGAAAGTAATCCTGGGAGCATTCAGTAATATGAACAGCTATATGGTTAACTTCTGGAGAGAAAGTTGTTTGTACTGGGTGAGCATCACTCTATGACACTTGTGCTTGTACTTGGTCATGATTTATGCTCCTTTTTCCACACAGTAGTCCCCTTCTGAGAGAAGCCCTTGCCTGAGAGCCCCTTTATATCTATTGGCACGGTATAAGCTTACCTATAAGCCTGTGGATTTTTTTCCTGAGGTTTGGTGTTTGTTTGCAGTTCAAATGCCCATCTTGAAAATACAAATGTACACCTCACAGAACTACTTTCACAGTATTCTTTCTTAGATGGATCAAAAAATATATACGTTAAGAGGTTTATAAGCTAGAAAACTTTGAATTTGAAAGATATTTTCTAGGAATGCATTTATTTCCAAGGCTGAAAGAAAAAAGTAATTTGTGAGACTCTCTATAGCCAAGCATGCTGTCTATAAATCAGTGTTGTTTCTAGCCACTACAGAATGATGATTCCGCCTGCTATATAGTATTTATTACTCCCAGTAAAAGAATGAGGTGAGAAAAGTTCATATACCCTGTCAACCAACGAGCTAAAAAATTATGCAGTTTGGAACAATTACAACACTAACAAATGAAAATACTGAACTTTGAGTGATTAAAATCTCTTGCAACTGTATTTTATTTTACAGATATGGCCTCTGAATGACTTTGGATTTCTACGTGCAAGCCCCAATGGCCATAGATTTCTTGATTGAAAAATTTAAGTTACTATTGCCAGCATTCAGAGTATTTTCTACTAAAATCAGTGGAACTATTTTTGTTTAGAATAAAAGTATTACTTGACAAACATGTCTCTGAGATTATATCAAACTTGAAAGTGGGAACTACTATACACTGCTATCATCAACTAAAATGATAGGCCTCTTACTCTGCTTCCTCTGGCTATTCACAGTAAGTGCCTGGATTTATGGGAAAGTTTTGGTTTTTACTACTTGCCAAGGTTAACATTGACTGTTAACAAGGGATGAAAAAGGAACAACGCACTATTACGTTGCCACACATCGGCTATGCCTACATTAGCAAGTAGTGTGGGATGGAAGGATTGGAACTGAAAACAGTAATAGTGGGGTCCCAGATCTGCTAGTCACTTATACGTGTTTTGTAGGGTTTTCCTTAAACTGGCTCTAGTTTGGCCCAGTGGGCTGTATGCCCAGCAGGGCCCAGCGCACAGCTTCTTGGTTAGTTTTCATCTAAGGAATGAAGACTGCATTTGTGTTCAGATGGAGACAGTCTATTCAAAAGTGGGCTCCTGCTCCCAGCTGAAACATGAGTGTAGATGCGCTGTTACAGCCCAGTGCATGGGCACTGTACCTGCCACTTGGTACTGAAACAACCAGCCTGTTACATCTGAGAGTCTCTGCTACCTCTTTTCAAGGCTCAAGTCCTTTTGAGGATTTAATGAAGTTAAAAATTTAGCATAGAAATAGAAAATGTTCCTGTTGCCCATTAATACACCTTACTCTTCATTATCTTCAAAGCATTCTCACCTGTATGCCTCCTGATTAAATTCTGTCATCTGAGCTGTTAAAAGGATTTAACCTGAGAGGTAGGGCCCAAGGTATAGTTGATATAGACTGAGATTGAAAGAAATTACTGTGCTGTTTGCTGGGAAAGAAATGTCATTTAGATCATGAGATACATTCCAGTTGTACAGAACTTAGTGTTCTGTTCCAGCAGTTTTTAATAACTAGCTCTTTAGCTGTGGAAGGGAAAAAAACCCCTCATGTCTACAGAGCTATGTTAGCAAATGGGCACACTTCCTTTTTTAAGTCTGACTGAACTTGTTCTTGTAGTGCCCTTCTTATTTAACATATTTCTTAGCAGATGCTGTCCCCCGTTTGTCTAGTTTTTTTTAAAGTTTGTAACTCAATGTGCTTGGTTGAAACAATCATTGAAGAATCTCAACAACAAGTGAACATGTGTCACAACAGACCAAAGACACATCTTTGGTTTCACTCTTGAAGACAGTGTAATTCCCACCACATCGGCATGAGAGAGTATAACATTGTTCATCTGCCAAAAAAAGAAAACAGAAAAGCCTTTAGTGCTTGAGAAGAATCAAGAATTTATTTTGGATTGTCTTCACAAAGCTGCTCTTAATAACAAAACATAATTTGTGTGTGACCTCCCACTGCTGTATCAGTACCTGTGCTACCGTGTAGCTACCCGTACTATTTGTTGCTCAAAAAATGATACTGTTAAAATGTGTTTCAGTGACTATGAGGCATTTTATGCCAAACAGCCAGGGTCAGTGTAGTCTCTATAAAAGAGCAGATAAAAAAGGTGCACATCCAGGAAACAGACAGATGTTAAAAGGACTATGTCACTGAGTATTTCTGAATGAGAACTTGATTCTGACAACATACCAAGATCTTTAGAGACCAATTAAGAACAAGCTAAGACATATTAGTTGTACATATGACAGATTAAGGATGGTTCCATAACAGACAGCTAACCTAGGAAACAAACATAAAACAGAAGGAAGTAGAGCAGACAGGACTCCCCTAGCTTAAAAAAAAAACCCAAAAAACACAGTAAAAAAAATCATCCACTCATCCAAAAAGCAAATAAATGATAAAAGCTAGAGTAATATAAAGGAGAGAAGTAACATACTTTCAGATGAAGAAAATCTGTATGAAAACACTTGCATTCTACCATCACAGAAAGAACAAGATGCATGAGAGACTTGGGGAGAATGTGGAAATCTAAATAGTCAGTTACAGCACATGGAGAAAGCCAGGTGAAAAGTGGTACTCCAAGCTCTCCATGCCCAAGTGGGGAGGGAGGGGGAGAGAGATGAAAAAGGAACACAAAATAAGTATCACTAAGTTAAGTTCCAAGTCAGGTAGCTACAGAGAACAGGACAGCTAAATCTGAGGAAAATATAAAAAAAAAAAAGTAGAACTTGCAATGAGACAACATATTGCTGTAAGATGCAGACAATGAAAGGCACTGGGAACAAGTAATAAGGCACTCATACCTTCATTCCAGGACATCTCCTCAAGATAAATTTGTGTATGTAGTGGCCATTCTTTTGTCAGGTTATCTTCTATAAAGAAAACATGACAAATGGTCAACCCTAATAACATACATGTCCTTATTTCTTCCTGATAAATTAATAGTTTTATATACCTAGCAGTCAGCCTAGTCCCTACTGGACAGTCCTGTCTAGCCCATGTTATCAGTTAAAAATGCAGTTCTCTAAAATTTTAGTTTCCCTATCTGTGCATAAGCTGGAAAATGTCCTACTGTATCCAGGAGAAGAAAATGGTGAAGACATATTACTGAGATCAAGACACTACTGAAACCAGTACTTTTGCATATCCCAAACAATTATGTAAAATTAGCGGCAAACTTTTGCTTTGCTAGAAATACCCTTTAAAAGCCTGGCTGTAACCACAAGCTTAATTGTGAATGTCTGCTTACCTGTACTTTTCACAAAATCACAGAATGGTTGAAGTCAGAAGGGACCTCTCAAGATCACCTAGTCCAACCCTCCTGCACAAGCACAGTCAGCCAGAGGAGGCTGCCCAGGACCCAGTCAGATTGTAAATCTCTCCACAGATGGAGACTCCACAGTCTCTTAGGCAACCCATTTTCCTTTAGAAAGGAGAAGCCAAACAAAAACCCCTCAGTAAGCACCAAGTAATCATTAGGGTTGCGTGTGAGAACACCACGAACATTCCCACAAAAAAATACTCCTAACAAAATAAAAATTAAAAACAGTTTTAGAAGACCACCACTCCAAGTGTTCTTTTATGATAAAGAGTCTCTCAGCACAGAAAGAAGGTCAGTTCTGGCCTGCGCCTGTGAGACCTGTTGCCATTTGATCCCTTAGATTCTTCCAACGTTGAGGAAAGCATGAAGTGACAAGTGTACAATTATCAAATGCAAACTGTGCAATACCAATACAAATTACTTTTGCAATTTATCAGCATGCTCATATTTGATACACAAAGTTCACACCAAGTTCTTTAACTTGACAATGTAAGATTTTGTCAACCAAGTGACAAGTGAAACCATAAAAGGTAATACAAAAAAAGGCCATAAACCCCTTACAGCTTACTACACAAAACCTCCCAGCTGCTGCCTGACACCTGGAAGCTCCAGCTCCCCACACACTGTATTTTAGAGAACCAGAAATGCCTGACATAGACAGAAAAGCCTCAGATTTGGCAAGACTCAGGAGCTCAGTACTTACTTAAGGTTTAAATGGGGTTGTTACTGAGAAAGTAGGAGTTCCTTCTCTTTGATCAGTGAGTTTTTAAGCAAGTTTTATAGTTTAATAACACCAAACTTTCTAGACCATGTTAGTGTTGTCTACAGCTTTCTGGTAGTGAAGGAATTTCTTATTCCAAAACTACTCATTTAGCACTTGCTGAAAAAGTCAGAGGCCCAGATTATTTTAATTCCCAAGAGATTGCCCAACCTAATCGCTACATTGTAGGATGTTCTAGATGAATCCTTCTACGTGACTGCTCTTTGCTCTGGACTGAAAAGTAGAAATAAGGGACTTTGCAGCTACCTCCTCCAGTAATACCCCAGAAAAACTGCACATCTCCAACCTTTATCTGATCAGATAATGGAGTATTTCCTTCTTTATCACCAAAGATCATCATCTCATTGCAACCACCTTACTCTGCAAAAGTTGGTTTCAGATTTTAAACAGTGAAGTAGTGACTCAGAACAGACAGACATCAATATTCTATGAGTTGATTTCACACATTAACTCCGTAAAGCAAGCTATTCACAAGTAAGTTTCCGAATTTACAACAAAGTACTGCTGCAAAGAAGTTTAAGGCTACTCTGAAAGTATAATCCTAGCAATAGCTAATCTCAGCTGTCTCTATAGTTAATTACCTAAATTAACATCAAAATCTAACCAACCTGTGGGTTTGTTTTGTTTGTTGTTTGTTGTTTTTTTTTTTTAAATTGTTTTCCTTTCATGGTTGTATCAGTTTTAAGAGTATAGTATCATAGGCAGAAGTATAAATGTAATGTACCAGTAGGGAAATGAACACCTTGCATTTTAATTATCCTGTATATGAGTGGGGGCCAAGAAGAGTTAATACCTACGTTTTGGGTTTTTACATAGGAAATTTAAGGCCCATTTAAAAAAAAAAACCACCAAATATTAAGTCCTAGTCTTTATTTTGCAATTAAATGACTGTTCTAATTTTAACTGAAATGTACATTATATATTCTTGGCAATGAGCCTCATCTAAATTAGTTTTAATGACAGAGATTAAAACAAATCAGACATTGGAAATAATGCAAAATCAATACAGCCTCTTTGATGTTACCTTTGCTGAACATGAAAAGGTCAGAATTAAAAGAAAATTAACCCGCTCACACCTAATACTTTATTGCTGTCAAAAGAAAGGGAAAAAATGGGCAGGAGTGTAATGATGAAAGAAAACTGTAAGATATACCTCTCAATCAGTCATTCTCATTGCTATGCATGGCCTCAATTACAGAAACAAGAGCTATGGGTAATGTTTTAGTTACACAAAGTAAAAACATTTTTCTTCACACCCAATCAGAACATTAGTTAACTGCATGAAATGTCCAAAATAAAAGGTCAGATGGTCTTTACTCCTGCCAAGCAACTCCAACATTACTTGAAGGTAGTCTGGTACAGCCTTCTAGTTACAAAACATGAGAACAGGAACAGTGAATGTCCTGAAAACCCCCACAAAACCAGTCAGAGGACTCTCCTCCAGGAGGCCTTGTGTGAAGTAAAGATTCCTCCTTTTTCCTTCCTCAAAAAAGCAAGGTGAGATCAAAATGAGGTCTGTCCACCTGCCTACACACCTTCAGGTTCTTCTCTCCACTGTGGTGGAACAATGTGAAAAAGGCAAGTGCTCCCTATTCTACCTGTTGGGGTTTTTTTTAATACTGGGAAGAAAAATTCACAAAGGAAAGTGGTCTCCTAGGTTGCAAGAAGAACAGATTTTCCTAAGCTTCATTTATAGGTAGCAAAAAAATGAGTTCAAAAGAAACCAGGCTGCCTTATTTGGAATTCATGAAGCAGGATTTCGCTCAGATAAGTTTTATAGGATTGGAGATGGAGGCCTGGGTCATGTCTTGCTGGCAGAAAATACAAAAAGGGCAGATGGACCATGTGCCACCCTGAAGAGAACTGATGAGATGCAAGTTCACAAGGTCACCATACTTCCTGAAGTAAAGTTACTCACGAGGTAATGAAGGTGGCAACTGAGGAAAAGTCTACCTTCTCTTCTCTTCCAAACATAGTACAGTATGAAGCCTAGGAAACAGAATTTCAACCAAGCTTTTCTAATTAATTCCTGCAACTGTTATTTTAAAAAGAAAAAAAAAAATCAACAGGCAAAATTAATCACTCATGTACTTCCCAGCCTGAACCAAGATCGTCTGATGCTCAAGCCTCAAAGAGTCTTACTGGTTATCTTAAAAGATGTAAATTTTCAACTAGTACTCTTGACTTGAGTAAGTCTCCAAGCTTAGCACATAATCCAGTAACTGCACGTCAGTCAGTTTTGTATGCTGTACTTATTTGCTTATCTGGTTCAAGCAGGAGAAACATTTTCTGGAGTTGAATAAAGCTAGAAATTGAGTTTCTAGTTCTCCTGTTAAATAGACTACCCCACCTAATATGCCTTAAGACAGCAGAAACAGATTTAGCTACTTATTTAAAAACAGAGGCGCAGGCCAGTATGAGTTTGGGGAGCTTACAAGCAGAACTAAATGGTTTTCACAGTGTGTGTTAGTGACTAATATTTCTTGTGCTCTTCCTTATTTCATCTACATCATTATTACTACAGCCATGACTCCCTCATTAGTGGTTCTTTGAAGCAAACTGGTGTCTGATTTTCATTCCCTTACCAGAGAAGGCTGGTACTATTACCAGTACCGAGTTAGGTGGTAGGCTTACTTCTGTGTGACGTCTGCTGAAGCTGTAGCACTCTGTGTACCAAGTTGTACTTTCTGAAACGCGCTCCCTGTGAACATGTAGGGAA